AAGGAGCCCCCCCAAAACCCTGTTCTAAGTATGAAGGCCCCCACATTATCAACAATAATCGTTCAGCAGCACTAGTATTAAGAAGAAGAGGGGAAGACTCTCCGTGGTCATTATCCGGTTAGAGCATGGTTACGACACACAATCATCCTAGCTGTAGGTTTGGTGTAGGTTTGCTTTGGTTTCGGTGCTCACTGGCCATCAGACCCGGTTCACAGCAGCGGATGCCTGCATCCGCTCGTTGGGAGAGAGAGAGAGAGATAGATAGCAGAGTTTGTTGTACATACTAACCAATGACGACGAACATTACAGCTAGCAGTAAGACAGATACAAATCATGCCACCCAACCGTGCAACATCGCAAGTCTTGTGAAGGGAAAAGTGCTGCTGTAGTTCTTGCATCTAAAGTCGCCTGAATTGTCCGAGCATGAGTGTGACGATCCTCCGGAAATGCTGATACAACTCTTTCAGGCTTTATCGAGACTGTAAATCTTTTATAGTAGACCCCACAACCTGGTCGGGGGAGGTACAGGGCCTAAACCTTCTGCATTTCATTGAGCGCAAAGGAGGCGGCGATTGAAGCCCAGCTGACGAGCTGGCTTCATAAAGGTGCGCAGACTCAGCGGAAAGGCGATTAAGGTGGTGAATAGGGACTCGGGCACTTAAGCTTTAAAGGCTTGCGGGGTGGACTACAATGCTAAGCCGGTGCCCGTTCTGCTCCACGAAGTGGAAGCCTTTTCAATCATGAATACCTGCCCTAATACGAACATGCAACCTCTGCTTGAACGGGCAGTGGGCAGTTTGTAACAATCGCCCCTTGTTGGCTCTAGTAAGGGTACTGATGACGTGTGCCTCGGCCACGTTGATCAGCGCTCGGATGACCATGCCTGTCGCGGTGCCTGACGAAGCCCCCACAAGATATCAATGGTGGTCATACCAAGTAGTACCCGATAGTAGCAACAGCAAAATTAAAAGACTTGCACAAACAATGGCAACAGCCACTGGCAATGATAAGCAGTCTAACAAAGCTGACGCATCCTTGCAGTTGGTGGACCTTGGATCGAAGGTGTTCCAACATGACGGAAAACAGAAACACTAGACTTAGAAGTTGCACATGTTGCTTCCTGCACAGGTGCATCGGGCGGCCTGCAAGCAGCCGTCACCGACAAGCTCCAAAGTCCGGGACTGTGCAAGACTGCACCGCGGAGTCTATGCTTCTCTCAGTGTTGCTGTTGGCATCAGGAGGAATTCGCATAGTGTAAGATTAAACGGTCTGTGTCGACACAGGATTTTTCCGAACCAAACAAACTGCAAACCGATGTGGCAGGCCAACGGAAACGCTCGATGGCGTAGCTTCATATACTACATCACACAATTGAAATGACACTACGTTGGTCGAGTGGCTTGCGACTGAAAAAGGTTTTAGGACACTTCAAGAAGTCCTGAACACGAAGACGACGTACAGGTTGACAAGGGTTGTCATTCAACAAGCTTCAAGAACCCAGCAGGCCAGCAACCTGGAAAAGACTTCTTACAAGACTTCCTCGAGTTCATGATTCCCGACGCAGTCGCCGCAGGTGGTCTCCAAGGTCCAGAGGTGAGGAAGGTCAAGAAAGAGCTGGAGGCCATGTCATAGTACAGAAGCCAGGATAGTACTAGTCCTTAGGGTTCCTTCATGTCAGATATTATACTACACCGCCGTTGTGATATCTAGGGCTTTACGTAGAGGGTTTAAGGATGTGCTGAAGCAAAGCAGCAGCAACGACAGTCCGTCTCGGGCTTCAGGGTTTGGGGGTGTTATGGCTTCGGGTGTACAGGCCCTCAGTGCTAAGGTGTGCGGATCTGCAGCTGGGGGCAGCAAACTCGGGATCAACTCATCAAGGACCCTTGGAAACGTGACCTCCTTAATGGTCGCTGGGTTGATGACCTGCTCTTCTTTGCTTTCAGTAGAATCACTAGAACCCTAGTATAGGGGCCCAAATAACTATTTCGGGGCTTCCTTTTCATAGTCATAGTATAATGGGCCCCCAAACCCGATTCTAATTATTAAGGCCCCCACATTAGGCCCTGAACCGCCCAGCCTCCTTTCACGAGGTGGAACCTCCTGAAACCGAAACTATCGGCCGAGACCACAAGGTAATATAGGCGCTTTACTATTTAGAATAGGGTTTTGGGTATATGATACTGTAGTCATGATAAGGAACCCCCAAACTAGTATTGGTAATTCTTGGGCATCTATTAGACGAAAACCCGTTATGCAAATTGCTCAGCCAGGCGTTTCTGGCCGGTCAACCGGCTTCTTGGCTTTCCACCAAGAGGTTCGGTTATTGGGGGTGAGGGTTTAGAGGGCTTATGTGGGTTCTCAAAATTTTGCAAAGAGTTGGGTAAGGGAGTGAAAGGTTTCGGCCCGAAGGTTGAATCTGCGGAACTTTGGGGTTTAGGGTAAAGGTGGAGCGCAGTACTGAGCGTAAAATGGACTTCATCGATCGGACGAGGAATGCCGCAGGCATCAAATGCTGGATCCATCAATTTATGATGCGCTGGGCTTACGTAAAGAAGGATGATGCAGCCTTACTTTGGCAAACCTACTGCGTCGTTCGGGTTTGCATGTCTGTGGAATTGGTCCTGCCCCCTCATTTTCAGGCTTGGTCTGTGGGCTCTTGGCTACCAACTTCGTTGGTTTAATCTGCGAGCTTTGCTCACAGCTCTACATGTCAGCGCCACTTGCACAAAAGCTTCACCGGGCGTGCAGCCCAGGTGACGGGTCAGTGTCAACATCGCTCTCCGGTCCTGTCGATACCTGGCAGCATGCTGTCTCCGGCTCATGTTTTGATAACAAGATGTTTGCCTGTATTCTGGGACCCTCCACGACTGAAACGGAGCTGTAGTCAACCCAAGATGTATTCTGGATTCTGCATGCTCCCAGTAACCTAGCAATTCTATCCCCTTGTGGTGCCGGAATGTATTCGTACCATATTCACCTAGACCCTATCTGTCATTATTAAGACCGCGGCACTGATCATGTGGGATTCAGAGAACATCAACCCTTTAAAGGAACCCTTTCATGCTCCTCTGTCTCCCAAGGGCTTCCATGACCGTCACCCTGCAGAAGCAAGAGCTGCCGAGCGAGCTCTTCCTGCCCATACTGTTGAGGCTCGGTCTCAGGTGTCGGGTGGTTTCGGATGTTGGGGCGATGGTTTCGGTATTTTGTTGGTTTGTTTTTGTTTAGGGCCTAAAGTCCCACGGTCCTCTGCTTTTCTGGTGTGGCCTGATTGGTCCTGGAGCTTTAGTTTTGGTGGCTTTGGGTCCTACGGTCCGCTCCTCGGTCCTGTGGTCGCCCGGCCACTTCCTTATTTGCCTCAAGGAGATCTCTGTACACTGGGTCAAAGACTCCATGTGCATAGAACCCCCAAGCCCCCTCAGCCACTGAAGCCAGGCCAGCTTTTAGCCTACCGCCGTTTTTGATCAATAACGGTCTAGTCTGCAAACTTTGCATTCATGACGCGAAGAGGATGACCTCTTTGTCCTTGTGAATTGCTACTGTTGCTACTCTTGCCGCTCTTGCGACCATCTCTGCCTTTACTACCTGAGGCTCTTGCTTCGCTGATTCTCGACTCTTGCTTAATCAGTAGTAGCAGTAGCAGCATCAGTCGTCGTCGTCGGTGTGATGCAGACATCAAAATGAGCTGCAGTCGTCAGCAGTAGCTGCTGAGTGCAGCGACGGCCCATCGCAGGGCAGCGAAAGACAGCTTCGGACATCTGATGCAGACGACACCAGAGGCGCACGGCACGGCTGTTTTGTTTAGGATCCTTCGTCGATCGAAAGAGAGGTTCCCGGTGCAGTGTAGTCAAAGTTGTGTGGGCTTTGCAGCTTTCGGATTCCTGGTTCAGGGATGTGGGGCGGTTGATCTGCCTTGGCTTGTTTGGCTGGTCAAATTGGTGTAAACATGCAAGGGACGCAGCGCGAATCCTAGACATTTAACAGGTTATCGTAAGAGTGGCTTCTTTTTGGACAGCAGCAGTAGTAGCATGATTAGTAGTATTAGTCGAAGTTGTCGTCGTCTGCTCTTGCAAGCACCATGTCACCTGCACGAAGAGCTTCGATCCAAGCTGTGAAATGCCAGACCGTGGTGGTGACCATCGGCAGAAGTGGGCAGCAAGACCAGCTGTTATCCTTGGAGGAGACATCTGTGATTTTCGACATTAAGATTCGCACCCCGAAACCCCAACCCTTGATTGTGTGTCAGTTCATGAAGCAGTTTGTCGATACGTGTTGTGCTCGCTCTGCAAAGCCAACCGACTGTGCCCCACTTGACCAAGCCAGGCGGGGAGAATGACCGCAAAAGAGTAAGTAAAGACCTTGTCCGTTTATATGGGTAGTTGTCAAAATTATGGTCCGTTTTGGGGTACCCTAAATAATAGGTGCCGTATTATAATAAGGACCCAAAAAGGGGCCATAATTTTGACAACCACCCATATAAACCTGTTTGAGACGACCTGTCGAGATCCACGAACAAGTTGCGACCAGACTCACGAGGGGACGCAGCTTGCGACCACGATTGTACCAATCGCCGAGATCACCGAGAGATGAACGGAACGCCAATGCTCGACTCAACCGCCAGGGACAGATTGGAATTCAACTCGCCAAGAGAACGAGAGAATCCAAAAACCCTAAACCCCGAGCAAGTATCGGGGCATCAGCTGCGACACATAATTAAATGCTGACCAAGGTCGGCTTTGAACACCAAGCAGGAAAGCTCGCAACAGTCACACATGTTCCACAGGCCCCACACCAATCGTTTAGATCTCTCAGAAAGCCTCTCTCAACACAGGCCCAGAAAGCGCACGCGTTTTGAAGCCGATGAGATGATGGAGACATGTAGCCGCAAATGCGCCGAACAACATGTGCAGACCGAGTTGGATACATGGCTGAGCTTTAAACCGCACGAAGCCGTGATCCATGCCTTAAGACGATCGCGCATAAAACTGGAACAGCAGGAAGCCATGAGATTGGACGCCGGTGAGAGGTTTCAGATCATCACGGAGGTGTCTTGGCTCTGAGAGCTAAAGACTTGAGGATTCTAGAAAAGGCTTTCCCTCGGAGGTGCCTGCTGTGTCAGCAGCAGCAGCCGGCAGATCGTGGTTTGTTTCTGTTCGCATGCCACCCGTTACAATCCATACACAATATACCCACCGGCGCGACATAGCTGTATGCATGTATGCATGTAGGAGGAAGGGAGGTAGGCAGGTAGGCAAGAGGTCGGTAGGGAGGCAGGTAGGAAGGTAGGTGGGTGGGTAGGACCGTGGTTGGTGGGCAGGTAGGTAGGTGGGTGGGTGGGTGGGTGGGTGGGTGGGTGGGTGGGTGGGTGGGTAGGTATACAGGCAGGCAGGTAGGTATGTATGTATGTACGTATGTATGCACGTATGTATGTACGTATGTATGTATGTATGTACGTATGTATGTATGGATGTGTGTATGTGTGTATAACAGGTTGCCTCCTTCTGCTTCGCTGGATCATGGGACATCTGTTTCCTAAACACTGAAGTTTGCTTGTTGTAGGACTACTCGTCCGGCTGCACCCCTACACCCCAAAAATAAATAAACCTAAACCTTTCACGAAGTGGCCAGCAGGCCAATCAGGACTCCATACATCACGCAATCACCGAGTTTTGAACACAGCAGCTGGTACAGTATACCAATCTCCGCTTACGTATACTATAACATACCCCAAAATCCTGTGTTGAGGGCTTTGGGTTTGTAAACCCCAAACTTTCGGCCTTAAGCGCCAGCAAGAACCCAAAACCCTCTCTCGGCAGAGTTTGAGTGTCACGCAGTCATTCAAGCCAGGAGTCCAGAAGTAGAGTTCAAAAAGCAACACTAACTTAGCGCCATGTTGGTGGAGGTGACGAACCCGTCCCTGCTTGCCATGCAAGCAGCAGCAGGCACGTAGCATCCATGCCATCATCCGAGGGCTTGGAGTTTGAGGGTTGTGGCATATGGGGTTAGGGTTTAGGGCAGAAAAGGGTTACGGGAGGGTGTATCTTCAGCTTTGTGGTTAGGAGCAGGTCCGACTGAGGTCCATGCAGCGAGACTTCAGGCCAGAGGCATGGCATATAGGGTTCAGGCTCTCTTACAACTTTTGCCTAGTCGAAGGTTTGTTGAAGAATGCTTGTCATGCCCACCCCCAAAACCCATCCTTGAGCCTTAAACGCTGAACCCTGAATTGAATTGCTGTGCGTCCCCTGACTAGTATGCGGCCCCGCTCTTCAAAAACACCACAGCTCCGACCGACCCGCAATAAACAATGTTGCTCCGGCGCATCCCGCACCACTGCTGGTTTGCTGTACCTGGTTTGACGCCGCCCTCAGATGCGTAGGTAGGCCTGTGCTGTGAAACGGAATTCCGGGTATCCGAAATTAAATTTCTTGTGCTCACATGCCCACATACCTACATCGGACATACGCATGTATATGTAGACATCTACATATATATATATATATATATGTGTGTATGTATGTATATAGACACCGATATATATATATATATATATGTATGTATTCTGTGTGTGTGTGTTGGGCGTAGGTATTTGTGCTTGCTTGGTGTTTATTTGACTATGATGGATCGTATGATTGTCATCATCAGTATCATTGCTTGTTCGCTTTGTTACAGCCTGAGCACTAAATTCAAGTAATCATTCCCGGGCCGCAGGGAAAGACTTCCCGGACCAATTCCACAAGCAGGCCTGGAGGGAAGTAAGCGAGCGGAAAGTGAAGTCGATGCTCCTGAAACCCCCTACAGGGGTTTCATAGCTCCTTTGCGTTCACCTCGGTGGAGGACACAGGACCAAGAAACAAGCCTGAGGAGTCAGCAATACTATTCCTGAGGGTTCCTTTCTTATACATGCATACTATGATGTACCCCAACACTCCTTTAAACATTACGGGCCTTACTTTAGCAAGAGCAAGAAGATTGAGTTTCAGGACCCTGTTGCAGCGTCGTCGGGCCGCACAGCCGAGACTTGAGGCTAAATCACCTAAACCCTAAGCCCTAACCTAGAGGCAAAAAAGCCCTGAACCCCAAGTTGACCTGCAATAGGAGGGACCAAACAAATCACGATGGCCTGAAACCCTGAGCCATCAGGGCCCGAATCTCGAGTTGTCCAGAGGTTTCTGGGGCAATGATGCGGCAAGGCGCTGCAGAAGGTGTCGGTCACGGCCTCAACTGGCGAAACTGTGTTCCTTCGAGATGATCGGACAGGAAGAGCTTCGTCATAGGCTCCAGAACAGAGTGGCTCTGAGGAGCCAGGGTTTGTGACGGTGTTCTTGGGCTGCGAGGAAAGTCAACTCAGATGTCAGATGTCGGAACAGAACTCTGCGGTCTATGTGCCCGGATGCGCTGCAAACTACATTGAATGTGCGGCGCTTTGACAATGAACCCACCCCAAAAGCCCTGCATGCACCCTAAGCCCCGAACACAACCTCGCAAGACTCTAAACCCTCAGCCAAGAAAACCTAAACTTTCCCAAGGGGCTCCCTTGAGGCGACTTCCACACCTGGGCTGATTTTGCGATCCCACAGATGCAGGAAAAGAACAGCTACATGCTGCAGGCATGCAGTGCCCGGTATTTCGTGGGGGAAAACCCTCCACCATCCTCGTACGTTGTATGACGGTCCATATAGTATGGAAGCCTAAATAGTTACAAAAAATATTGTTAGGGTTCCTTATTATAATATACTACAAAGGAGCCCAAAACCCTATTCTAAAAATTAAGGCCCCTACATTACCCCACAGCACTTCGATGAGGACCCACAGGCCCCAGACCTTGAGTTTAGGCTTTGCAGTTGGCCTGGGCCTGGGGAGCGGTTGCGAGAAAGACGGTGTTGAGAAACAAATCATGCGCCATGGGGCTTAGATGGCTTCGGAGCATTGAGGGTTTAGTGTGTAGGTCCTTTCGTTTGTCGGTTGTGAACCTGTGTATCTTTAAAGCAAGCAGCATGGGCGGGGTCTAGATTCGCCATAGCTCAAGCAGCTTCCCCTGATGCAGTCATGTAGGGGTTTCTGAAAATAGGGGACCCTAATATAGTACCCTAAATAACAGGATCCTTAATATAAGGACCCTACTCCTAATTTTCGGAAACTCCCATGTAGGAGGCTCAGAAACTCAGGGAGCCTGGGAAAGAGCCCAGGTGGTAATCCTAGCTCGAAGGACCCATACCCAAAGGGTCCAAAGTACCTATATGGTAGAATGTAGGGTTTCTATAGTAGGAATTGTTATTATGATTTGGGAAAGTATCCCCCATAACAGTACCTAGGACCCTTTGGGAGAACCAAGGCACCGCCTCATGCTCCCAAGCCCCCCGATGTCTTCGTGTCACCCGCTAAAGTTGCTTTTTCTAAGTCCCAACGCCCGGCGGAAGACCACCTTTCTTCCGTGAAAGTACCTATAGTCTCCATTGTAGTTCCTTTTGGGGGATACCTTATAAAATCCTTATTATATATTTGGTTAAACCAAACAAGGAACTACAATGGAGACTATAGGTAGTTTAGGCTACCTTTTCTGGGGCCCCTGAAGATAAGAAGCCGAAAGCTGGTCATCGCCTGAGTCCAGTAGAGGTTTAGGGGCTTACTAATTCGACTAGGGGTAATAAGGAACAGCCAAAAGAGTATAGGCAATTATTAAGGCCCCGATGTTGGATGTCTATCGGCATCTTCGCGTTTGTAGGGCTTTTTGGTGTAGAACGAGAAGGGTGACAAAGGAACGGACATGTTTGTGGACGGAAGCTCCTCTAGACATCGCCCCTCCAAACAAAAGTCTGCGCCCCTATGGGCATAGATAGATCAGAATGCCCTGCGGCTGCATAACCTCTTAAAGAAGCCTCTGTACCCCTCCTAAACCCTAAACCCCAATGGGCCTTCAATGTACTTCAGGTTTGAGGGCTCAAGGGCCCTAGGGTGATTTCCAGGTGGATGTAGACGACTGGAGACCTAACTGACTAGACTGACGCCCTGGAATGTCTGTCTGTCTGTCTATCTATCTATTTATCTCTCTGTATGTATGGATGGATGTACGGGTGTATGAATGTATGCATGTATGTACGTAGGTATGTATGTATGTACGTACGCAGGTGTGTATGGATATGTACGTACGTAGGTATGTATGTATCTATGTATATGTATGTATGTACGTAGGTACGTACGTA